CCCATAAGAAACCCATGTTAAAATGCAAAGACGTTGAGCGAGTGGTTCCCGGGGTCCGATCGGGACGAACGGGGCGGTTTTGGAATGCCCAGAGCATGGGTCATCTCGATCTTTATGAACTAACCGCCAGTCTGATAATTTTTTTGCCGTGGGCCACCCTAACCAGAGGGCGCGTGCAGCGGGACGTTCAGGATTGCAGCTCGCTTTCGGGCATAGAAATTTAAGTCACTGTGCAACGGTACTACTTGGTTCAGGGCCGTAATTAGATCTTAACTTTAAAATAAAGTAGAGACCTCTATGATCCCTGCCTTCAAACCTTCAAGTGGAATGCCCTAAGGGCCGTCATGGGGTCGGCGAAGACGTCTTCCCTTAACATCAAAATACCTAAGTAAGTACATAAGAGTATGGGACGGACAAGTAAAGATTGTATTCTTCTAATGATAGTGTTTTATTACACACCAATCAGGTCATCTACCAGATGTTAGGAATTTTGGACTGGCTTTTAATTCCAAGTGCTCCGTAGATAATTTCATTTCCGAGAGTAGTCAGGCCACCATTGGCACCACGAGAAAGATCCATGTTAGCCGTATCTTCATTGTTACCATGCCAAGACCTGTGAAAAGCAAAACGGTATTAGATGAAACTGCTTAAGCTAACAAAACGTTATACGACATGCCGATTGAGAGCGACAGCTCACATCAGATTCAAGGATGATGAATGCAAGGCCCCTACGAGCTGAAAATACATAAACGGTAATCGTCTAACCCAACCCATCTTTTTGCTACCCCGTTCCAACCCCTTTCGTGAAATTCACTGTGGACGTTTTATAGCCCAGACAGGAATCCTGTGAAACAATAAAATGGTATCGATGGTCAAAGCGCGATTCGCCAAGTCAGAAGTAGCCTCCTTTCGCTACAGCGGGGCCTAAAACATGACACCCGCGGTATCCGCTGAATGTGACTGCCAGGCGCTTATGGTTTCAGGGGTCGCAAAAATCACGGACAGTGACCCTTATCCTTAGAATTGACTATATTTTCATTTTCAATGCGTTCCAGCATGATTGAACACCTGACCCTCCAAAGTAAAACAGTCACGTAGTTTTAAATCAGAAGTAGCGACCTTTCGCCACAGCGGGGCCCGAAAGATGGCGCCCGCGGTACGCGGTACCCGTCGAATGTGAATGCCAGGCGCGTAAGGTTTCGGGGGTCGCGGACGCGGACAGCGACAATTATCCTTCGAATTGACTTCCCTTTCATTTTCAATGCGTTCCAGCATGATTGAACACCTCATCCTCCGAAATAAGACGGTCTACTGGACGGGTAAACAATTTCCTCTGGCGCTTAACAAATCAGCCGATTCTTTTCAGGTAATTCTTTCACCCCGGTGCTCAAAACGAGCAAATGTTCGATTTTTTTCTGCTTTTTTTCCTGACAGCTCCACACCCTCCCCTACCTTTTCGGATCCTCACTGATCAGAAGTAAAAGCTACGTTATTCTGCGTGAACTTCGAAGATACCTACCATGCTAGCCATCCAACCGATCGCTCCGTGCAGTACTGCATGATGGACTTGTAGTCGACGGGCTTGCCACTCTGGCGGTCGCTGAACTCGCCAATAATGACGGGGACACCAATTGCCAGACTGTTGTCGATGTGGCGCCTCACTGTCGCGGCATCTGGGGCAGCTACCTCATACATGTGGATCGAGAAGATCAAATTGCGCTCGGGATCCGCCTGTATGGTTAGGGAAACATTTTGAGAAACGGCAAAAAGAGAACAACAGCAAGATTGTGAAGCCTGTCGGCGTCGGCTCTCCGGCCTTGATCGGGCTAGGGGCCAGCCACGAAATGACAGTAGTTTCTTAGTTCCAGAGGAGCCGCCAGGGGCTGGCGTCGACCAATGCCGGGGCCGGGCGAGGGGAGTTGGAAGCGGTGCACCGCGCATTCCGCCCCTTCTCCCTTCTCCCCTCACACGGCACTGGTCAACGCAAGCCGCGCAAGCGCCACTGCTGGTTTCTCTCGATTTGAGAGCATGCCGTCACTCCATCAGTGGCCCAACTCCGGATAGCTCAGAGGCATCAACGTATTAATTGCATCGTATCGTAATAGTTGAGACCTTTAAGTTTACCCCTCTACAACCTTTTAACAACGGATGCAGTAGGAACACCAAATTGGAGCCGAGATTGACCTTACTGCAAAAAAGGCTTGGCCGGGCGATCGCAGCAGAAAAAGGCTTGGCCGTCGGGAGGCTGCTAAGAAAGACTCAGTTGCTGGACTTTTCCTATCTGAGTCTTAGCAGCCTACCGCCGGCCAAGGCTTTTTCTGCAGCGGTCGTTCGGCCAAGCCTTTCTCGCCGGAGGGTATCGAGATGCGATTTTGTTCACCCCTCGTTTCGGAATAAGATTTAATTGCAGGTAATAATTGACAGTTCATCAGCGCAAAAGAAGAAGGAATGAAATTCATGCGATGAACATGGCACACGCCTCAAATGAATGCATGTTAAAAAAGTAAGTTTCGCATTGCTCCTTTTCTTGAGGTGGAAACTCTGTTAATAGGTCGACGGCAGGTTTTACCTCAAAAACGACGCGGCCTTGCTGTGCGATGCTCGCTGCGTCCTGTCCCCACCCAGGAGCGTCCACGATGATGAGGTGCGTGAGTCCTGCGGACCGCAGGGACGGCAGCACCGAGGCGTAGCCACTGGCCCAACGTGCAGCCTGAAACGTCACTGGTTTTAGGACACCTTCAAGCAGGGGCGGAACTGGCTCACATCTAAGGGAGTGGCAGAACATACGGGTCGCCTTCCTACAGGGACATTTGTAATGTGATAAAATATCACCTTATTTCCATATTTTCCATGCCCCCGTCCTCTTTTTGATATATTGTTAAAAATTTAATCGTGTCGGAAAGTACCGTGGTGTAAACTTAAATGTACGGAGCAGCGCAAAAGTATTGTGTGAGCGACCGAACCAAAATTTTCGTATTTATAAGGTTTTTTTGGGACTGTGTCCGAATTCAGCCACCAACCGGTCGATGTGTGATCGGTCGGACGTCGAGCGGTCAGTGCGAGAGATAGCATCCATGAGAAAAGCACACATCTGTCTCTCCCGCACTGACCGCTCTACGACCGGCTGATCGCACATCGACCGGTTGGTGGCCAAATTTGGACACACTCATAGTTCTACTTAATTACGAAAAGAAAAATCCGTCTGAGCAATATTAAGGTGGGAAATACCCATTGAACCTTAGAATTTAACATGTTTTTACTTATCTTCAAAAAAAATTAATAATGACAAAATTTTGCCCAAGTGAGGTTTCCCTTCACTAGTTCAACTATCAGACAATTTATAAAACATTAGAGAGACCCATAGAATCATTGGAAACTGTTTGGATTTGAAGGGTTTTGGCTTCTGGGACATTTTTACTTCAACATCTTGCGCGCAACTTTTCTCCGGAACTATTTGAGTTAAAAACCTGGATGAGGTCACATTTTAAAGAGAAATAAACAGGCA